GGCAGTATAGTAGAGCTGTGGTGGAGGTGTGGGCAAGCCAGGCCCAAAGTTGTGAGCATGGGAGAGCTGTGCCCATTACTCATCTGTTGTGTGGTGGTGGTGGTGGGGTAGGTGGAAGAGCCCCCTCCCTCCCTCCCTGCCCCCCTCCACTCATCAATGCCTAAGGCAGGTGGAAGGACTGGCCCTGAGGTCATAAGAGCAGGAGAGCTCTCCCAGCCCCTACACCTTGCCTGGGCAACACAGTGGTGTTGGCCCTGAAAGTGTAGGTGTGGGGAGAACTGCCCCTGAGGATGTTTGAGAGCAGGAGGAGAACTGGCCCCCACTGCCTGCTCATCGCTCCAGGGGGTGAACCAAGGGCAATGCTGGAGAACTCACCCTGGTGGTGAAGACAGGGGGAGAACTGGCAGGCCTGACCAACCCTGCAACTGGAGGTGGGAGTGGGGGTTGGTCCTGTGGGCCCAGGGGTGCAGGATCTCCACGACACAGGGCAGCAATGGTTATCCAGGGAGAGTTCCAGTGAGAGTCCAGCATCAATGGTGTAGCAGAGACCAGGGGCCTTGAACCAAACCAGTGACTCTTTGTGATGAACACCTGCGTGTAAAAAGGTATGGATAATGGGGTTTCCTGCATGAATCACTGTGTCACACTGCAGCTTCCATGGCAAGAGTTTCCCTTTCCCCCTTCTCTCTCTCTCTCTCTCTCTCTCTCTCTCTCTCTCTCTCTCTCTCTCTCTCTCCTCCTCTCTCTCTCTCTCTCCCTCCCCTCCCTCCTCCCTCCCCTCCCTCCCTCCCCTCCCTCCCTTCCCCTCCCTCCCTCCCCCTCTCTCTCTCTCTCTCTCTCTCTCTCATCTCTCTCTCTCCTCTCTCTCTCTCTCTCTCCTCCTCTCTCTCTTTGGTTTTTGAAGACAGGGTTTCTCTGTGTAGTTTTGGTGCCTGTCCTGGATCTCGCTCTGTAGACCAGGCTGGCCTCGAACTCACAGAGATCCACCTGGCTCTGCCTCCTGAGTGCTGGGATTAAAGGCGTGTGCCACCACCGCCCAGCTTCCTTTTTTCTCTTAAATTTTATTTTGTTTTATTCTGGAGGGGAGGGAGATGGGCGGGTCCATCCCAACATCCACCCCATCTAAGATCTACTGAAGCACAGGGGTGGGGGATGGGGTGGGGTCGCTTCTATGGACCCGGGGCTGCAGGATCTCCATGACACAGTTGTACTTTCTCTAGGACTTTTCTCATGAAGACATGTTGGATTTTGTCAAAGGCTTTTTCTTTATCTATTGAGATGATCATGTGAGTTTTTGTCTTTAGGTTCATTTATATGATTTATTACATTATTGGTTTACCTGTATTGAGCTAGCCCTGCATCACTGGGCTTAATCTAACTTGTTCATGATAGGTAATCCTTTTGATATGTGCCTAAATACAGTTTGCAAGTATTTTATTGAAGATTTTTGCATCTGTGTTTATTAGGGATATTGGCCTGTAATTGTGTGTGTGTGTGTGTGTGGTGTGTGTGTGTGTGTGTGTGTGTGTGTGTGTTTACCTGGTTTTGCTATTAAATAGTACTGGCTTTGTAAAAGGAGTTTGGAAGTACCCTTTCTATTTCTATTTTTAAAAACAATGTAAGAAGTATACTTTGTAGATATTCTTTGAAAATCTTACGTTTTTCTGCTGTGAATACATCTGGGCCTGGACTTTCTGGCTTTCCTTCCCCTCATGCTTTCAGAAAGCTTTTTAAACTATGTGTCATTCATATATTTTTAGCCTGTGCTAAGAACTCATGGACCCTACATTTAATCACTTCCTGTTCTACTGTTTTTTATATCTACCTTGTGTAATTGTTTCTACTAAATTCCCTTTAATTTATTACAAAATTTAATGTGTTTTGATTTGAAAATATGCTGACTTTGATAACTGTTTTTATTACTAAGTGCATTCATCACAGAAACGTTTAAAATAGTGTATAGGGTGATCAAAATTTGTTTATATAAAAATAATCTGCCTTAGTTATATACTATTTTGCCTTCCATCTTGCTTGTATACATAGTATATATCTCTTTCTATGTGTATGATGCATACTTTTGAGTGTGAATGTGTCTACATATATGGTACATGAGCGTGAATGTCTGAGTATACATGTGTTGATGCCCACATTTTTATAATTCTATATGTGCTACATGAAAACAGCTATGCATTTTATTGAAGAAACATCAATACTTTGTTGTAGTCCAGGCACTGTGTTAGATACTGGGGTATACTGTAGTATGTAGCTTGAGTTTTCCTGCCTGGCCCACAGTCAGGACAAATCTCTCTCACCTGCCAGTCCCCACAGCCACTCAGACCCAACCAAGCAAACACAGAGACTTATATTGCTTACAAACTGTATGGCCGTGGCAGGCTTCTTGCTAACTGTTCTTACAGCTTAAATTAATCCATTTCTATTAATCTATACCTTGCCACGTGTCTCGTGGCTTACCAGCATCTTCACATGCTGTTTGTCATCATGGCGGCTGGCAGTGTCCTCTCTGACTCAGCCTTCCACTTCCCAGCTTTATTCTCCTCCTTGTCCCACCTATACTTCCTGCCTAGCCAATGGCCAATCAGTGTTTTATTTATTGACCAATCAGCAACACATTTGCCATACAGAACATCCCACAGCAGTAGTAAACCAGATTGACAGTTTCTCATTTATGAACACGATACTGTCATGGGGTAGAAAGAGGGGACAGAACTATGCATGTAATCCAAACTGTTGTAAGTTGTGATAAGATCTATGAAAGAAACAAATTATGTCTAACAAGGCAAAAATTTATGTCAGTGGGGTGAGAAAGATCCCAGTAAGTTCCATTTATAGAGATCTAAAGGGGGAAAGCGTGTAGCCAAAGCCAGGTAAAGACATAACAGGAACAGGAATTCTAAGCCAATTTCCCTAGTGAAGGTAGATTCAAATACCTCCGTTAACTACTGTAACCTGAATACAGGCATATATCATCACAAAGATCATCCAAGTTGGCTTTATCCAACAGGTGCAGGGTTGGTTCAACATTTGAAATAAATCATATAAATGGACTTAAAGATGAAAACCACATCATCTCAATAGATGCCGAAAGGCCTTTGATAAAATCCTGCGTGCCTTCATGATAGTGAGAAAAGAATACTTACACATTCTCAAAGAAATTAAAAGAAGGTGTGTGTCTTCAGATACTTGTAGAAGAAAAGGGAGTTGCAGAAAGTGATGTATGACTGAAGGCATGGGACCCATTGGCATAGGATATGGTTTGGATGTCAGCCTAAGCACCATGGAAAGCCACTAAAGGCTATTAAGTATGACCTGACAGGGAACAGTTTTGTTGTCTAGACAGGGGGCTAGGAAAACAGTTAAGAAGCTATTATAGACTGGGTGAGGTGGCACACACTTGTAATATCCACACCAGGAGGGGAGGCAAAGGCAGGAGAATAATGAGTGTGAGGTCTGCCTGGGATACAAAACTAGGCTCTCCCCAATTAAGTAAGCAAATACTACAGTGATCTAGGCAAGAAGACACATTCACTTGAATTGGTGTGTGGAAGTAGAAACAGTAAAGCATAGTTAGGTTAGAAACCTATTTTGCAGGGTTGGAGATATAGTGCAGTGTTAGAATGCTTGCCTAGCATGTACAAGGTCCTAGGTTCTATCTCTAGCATTTAAAATTAAAATGGGATTTTGGAGGAAACACTAGCAAAAAATTCTGTTGAATTGGACTTAAATGTGAGTTAAAGAGAGATCAGGGCTGATTGTTTAGTTCCTAGTTTGACTGACTGCTGAGTGGTGATGTTATTTTTTGAGGTGAAGTATGGGAGAGAAACAGGAAGGACTGTGGATATAAATGTGAAAGCAGTGAACATATCTCTCTACCATATACTTGTCATAAATGTATGTGTAGGTGGCCATTATATTTATGTTTATACCTTGTTTCTGTCAGGTACGTGCACACATGTTTATACATTTCATGTATGGAACCATGTATACGTCTACCTATTATACTTTGCAAATATGAAACATTTATTTTATTTACTTATAATTTGATGAAGGAAAATTATATTTTCTTTTAGTTTTGTTTACATACATTTGGTTTTTAATGGAATTGAATGATAAAATAGATTTATTATTATTGTGCGGAAATATATGTAGAGATAAAAGGATGACTTGTGGAGTCATTCTCTCCTTTCAACTTTCTGGGGATGGAACTCAGGTAGTCAGGCTTGTGCTGCAAGTGACTTTACCCACTGAGCCACCTCACAGGCCATGGCTTGAATGTTTTGAAACTTAAAAAGCGGACTCCTCATCATTTGTATGTCATCTTCTGCAAGAAGCAACTACTATGGGCTATTCCTGTGGATATATATGCTGAATATCTGTTACCCAAAATGCTTGAGACCAGAAGTGGTTGGGATTTTCGAAAGAAATGTCGGAATATTTGCATGCATATAATGATATATCTTCAGTGGGCCCCCAGTTTAAACACAAAGTCTTAAACCCCCTATACTCATAACCCAAAGATTTAATGCAATATTTTTAGTGTGTTTACATTTTTCACAGTGTGCCTGAGATTTATCACATGAGGTCAGGTGTAAAAATTTCCGTTTTTGGCATTACATCTGTCCTTGAAAATTTTCAGTTTTAGATTTGATGTTTTTTGGATGAGAGATGCTGTACCAGTTTAGAGAAAAGATGCAGTCAGTTCCTGCAGAATCTAATTCCTGAGTGGCTTTGTATGCACTCTAAAAAGACCTGGATTTGCTATTTCCTTTCTGAGACTGAATGCAGGTGAAGTGTTTAACCTAACTCGAGAATACTAATATGTGTGTACCTGCTTGTGTCACCGTGACTGCTGTGAACAGTGTACTCGGTAAACACTCAGGAGTTCTTCCCTGACTTTCTGGTTCCTTTATGTGATCAGTTAGGGAGTGCTGGTGATAGATAATGGTCAGTTTCTAAAGGTGACTTTTGTGTGTCTCCCCTAGGTCTTGGCCTTTCTTCACAGCCTCTTCATTTCCAACAGCTTGACTGTGGAGCTCACACAGGATTTCCTCCCATACAAACAGCAGCTGCAGCTCAGTTTACAGAATGTGAGTTGCATGTGGATGTCTTTCCCTGCCATTGAGATTTGAGCCCCAGTCGTCTTAACTGTGGAATTACAGGTTATTGCGCCGCAGCCAATTTGTCAGACAAAGTGGTGTGGAGTACAAACATGTTAGCGTAGTGGTGTGTTCTTGCTTTTTCAGTTTTGACGCTTCCTCTCTTCGAGGTTTCCTGATGTTCAAACCTAACCTCTATTCAGGAATGCCTCTATTTAGCCAGGATTTATTAAGTGTTGGGACTTTACTGTATTGCTCGCAATCACAATCCAGCTGTAGGCTTATTTAAATATAAGGCTTAGGCCTTAAGCTAATTCCGAAGTCAATTAAGACACTTGTGGGCTTTATTATTATGAATGCCCTTATGTATCGTCTTCCTTCTCTCAATGTTAAAGTACTCCTCCATCTTGTTGTACATGCTAGTTCTTATAAATGAGCACAGACATGACATTTTTATGTATTGGAACATGAGAATTTACTAATTTTATCACTTAGCCCTCATTTGATGCGTATTTATGGATACCATGAAAATATACCCTGTGTCAGACAATGTAGAAGTCTCTGGCATACCAGAAGGAGGCATCAACATTTGTCTGTCTTAGATGATCATATATTTTCTTCGAGTAGAGGCATAACCACAGATACATCATAATCCTTTATAGTATTTGTAGCTATATGGAATCAGACCAACAGAGAAGGTATTACTAAGATCAGGTGACATTGGACTGGGTGCTACATTGTATGGCCTTCATAGATGTGTTTTTAAATTCAAAACTGCTGATAAGATGCTTGCTTAGGGGGATTGTGATAGACAGTTTTACCTACTTTTTTCTTTCTGCATTTATTCCTTCCTTCTGGGTTCTCTCCTTTACCTGAATGTGAGAGTGCCTGTTTTCTGCTGACTTACACAATCTTTCTACAATCAAGTTGACTCCTCTGCCATGTGTAACTTGACAAATGTGAGCTAATCCCAGGCGTTCGCATGTGTACTCATGGCTGACTCATTGTTAGTATGGTTGACAGCTGGGGCCGACCAGTGTAGTCCTCCTTTTCTTCACTAACATAATGAAATTGCCCTTAGGTTAAAGTAGGGTCAGCCTAATCTCCTTATTTACTTGAATCTTGAATTAACCTATTGGGTAGAACCTCTGGCTTCTTGTGGTATCTGTGTTTTTGTTTCCTTTCTACTTCATAATACCATTAAACTCTAGAATTATTTCTAGTCACTACCATTCAGCAGTCTTCTATATGTTTTAGCACATGCTGTGAGCAGAGAAATCTCTGTACTATATCTATGACCTGTAAATACACAGTCTTGCTGATGATAGTGGTGCTAATGATTATAATGGTCTCTTGACAGACAAGAAATCATTTCTCCAGTACCCGAGAAGAGATGGAAGAACTTAAGAAAAGGATGAAAGAAGCTCCTCAGACATGCAAACTTCCGGGACAGCCAACCATTGAAGGCTATCTGTACACACAGGAGAAATGTGTGTGGGCATGCAGGGCTCCAGTTGGCTTGCCACTTTACCTTTCTGAACACTGGGAATTTCTGTTCGTAGATCCATGTCAGATACAACTCCTTGGAGGGCAGGGTGGGAATAGAAAAAATGTAAAAGGAAGAAACTTGAGGGGGAGTTGGGACACTGTGTCTCTAGAGTAGTAAGATCTAATGTTTTTCTCTGAGATTCAATATGAGGAATGTTAATTGTGTACAATGAACTTTGGGTCAAAAAGGAGGTAGGGCAAAGAAGGCAGATAGATCCTATTTATTGCACATACTATGTGCAGTGCTCTAAAAGCCTCATCCCATTTAATCTTTGATTCCACATTATGTTCATTTTATACTAGAGACCACTGAGGCTTAGAACAAGCACTAGATCTAAGATCTAATTCAGTTGTATCCTATGCCCAAACTGATACTCTTTCCAGTGTATCCTATCCCACCCACCACCCTCAGAGCCTGTACAGTGTCAAGTGGTGAGCAGCATCCTAGTTATCTTCATACATGACAGCCTAAACTGTCTACAGTGAAGTAAACTTGCCCCTAGTTGACAACCTCTGCTACATACTGTACAGTGCCTCTGTGCCTCAGTTTTCAGTCAAATGGCTGTCACTCAGTTGAATGAACACTCACAAGCATTGTTTCTGCCAAATGCTATGCAACACATTGAGAGTACAAAAAAGTGATAACATGTTTTCTTTCTTTTTTCTTTTCTCAAAGCAATTCTCAGACTGATAGAGATAGGAAAGTATTCATGAAACATTTCGAGCACCCTCTTTGGGGCATATATCTAAGAACTTCTCTGAGGCAGTGATGCTTGACCTAGAACTTGAATGTTCAGTGAGAGTGTGACAGGTAAACAGAAACTGGGCTAGGGCTTGGTAGAGAATTCCAGGTGTGTGCTACTATATGAGTTGAGGCACAGGAGTGATGGAGAACATACCTCATGCTTAGGTCTTGGTTTGTTTTGGATAGCCCTTGTTGTTCTGATGTAATTCTTCATTCTTAAATACATGTCGTGTGCAATCCATTTTAAATACATGCTGAGTTTACAGTACAAGCTATATGCCCATTGAAGTATATGGGAACTGGAAGTAATTCAATGGCACAGGATCATAGAGGTGACGGTGCCCAATGACAAGTCCAGAATGGCCAGTTTGATCAAATTATGGAGGGCTTTGAAGGTGGACTAAGTTGTCTGGAGAGAGTAGGAAAGCCATGTGTGATTTGCAAGGGAAATGACATCAATGGAAAGGTAGTTTACAGTACTGGTCTAGTATAATGATGAAGATGGGTTGGACAGGAGTGCATCAGAAATGGGGAAATGAGAGATGTCTGCTTGAACTGATTAATGGGGGGAAAAGTAAATTTGTATTTTATTGGTAAACGTTATATGTATTAGGAAAACAAGACAGCGATGCCACCCTTTAATTCATTGCTAAATGGGTAGGAGAAGTGGAGATAGCTGAAGGAGAGACACGTAAGGAGTGGTATGGACACAACTCAATGGTAGTCAAATGAGAGGTTTCAGGAAAGAGGAACACTGGCAGGGCTTTCCAGCTTCTGGATGCATAGGTGTCTTGATTCCCAGCAACTGTTGCAGGGAGCGTAGGTTTGGAATGAGCCAAGAATGAATATGGGAAACAGTTGGTGAGGGTCTCTGTGGGTACAGTAGGTAGGTGGGGGTAGGTAAAGATAGAGCACAGGTGAACGGCAGAGATTGACCTGGGGTTTGTCTGCAAAAAGTAAGCAATAGCCTGGGACTCTGCATAGAATGTAGAGGCCTTGGACTCAACTTCAAGCACTGGAGAGGAAAACAAACGTCTTCTGCTTTGGGGAGCTTAAATATTCTGCTAGTTCACTTTCTCCTGTCTTTGTAGGGGCTCTGGGGATCTCCTGGGTGAAATACTACTGTCGGTATGAGAAGGAGACCAGGACACTCACCATGACACCGATGGAACAGAAGCCAGGTGCTAAGCAGGTCAGTTCTAGTTACTGCTACTTTGTGAGTGTATCTCAGAAAAGAACATATATTGACAAGTGTCAAATAATCAAGTCTATCACTGTTATGTAAAAACCAGGATTTTACGTGTTCTCTTTGGCCCAAGTTTATGTGGGCCATGGCTAAGATCAGGACTTTTGTTATTATTTGTTTGGTTTTTGAGAAAGGGTTTTGTTCTGTGACCCAGGCTGGCCTAGAACACATTGTGTAGCACAGATATGACTTGAACTTGTAGCAAGTCTCCTGCCTCAGACTCCTGAGTGCTGGATTAAAACAGGTGTGTTTCATCATACACAACTGTAGATGAATTTCTAAATGGTCTTATTAAATAAAAAAACATGGAGCCAAATATAGGGGTTAAAGCCTTAGAGATCAGGAAAATAGGGAAAGCTACCAGCCAATCTTACCTCACCAACTCTGCAGCTTCCAAATGCAAGCTACTTCCTGTCTTACCAATGCCTTTTTTGCCTTGCTGTTCTGCCCTCTCATTGGCTCTTAGTCCGGCTACCTCACTTGCTTGTCACTGTCTGTCTGTACAGACCTCCAGGTCTCTATGGTTGGTATTGGGATTAAAAGCATATGTCACCATACTTGGCTCTGTTCCCTAGTATGACCTTGAACACACAGAGATCCTGCCTGATAAGTGATGGGATTAAGGGCGTGTGCTGCCTGACTTTTTGTTTACTTAAAATGGCTGGCCTTTCCCCCTGATCTCCAGGCAAGCTTTATTAAAGCACAAATAAAATATCACCACTTTCCAGCACAAACAAAATATCACCACACACAACTCCTACCATCAGGGTTTATGATGGTGTTTTTCTGTTTTCAGCCTATTTAGTATTGCAGTTGCCTATCGCTTGTATAAAGAACATATCCAAAACATGGATGATTCTTTTAAATAGTGAGTTTAAAAAATATAATTTCTGGAATGCCTTTATTAAAAGTGTGTGTGTATATGTATCTCTCTCTCTCTCTCTCTCTCTCTCTCTCTCTCTCTCTATATATATATATATATATATATATATATATATATATATGCACCTTTTAAATATTTACACATTGTTGGAAGCTTTAAGTATATATCTGTGTGTATCTGTTGCCTGAAGTTAGAATCACCTACACCACATTAAAATCTCTATAAGTAGCTCATGTTTCTTCCTCTCCTCTTCAAGCCTTCTCCTACCTTTCAAAATGCCGAGGTAAGTTTACCACTTGATAGGGTAGTTTACTCCCTGGAAAGAACCTGCTCCTTTCCATGAATGGATGTTTCTACAGGTAAAAACTGATCTTCACATAATTTGCTTTCTGAAAGTACCCCTTTCATTTGCTCTCATACACGTTGTGCTTATGCACCTTTTAAATATTTACACATTGTTGGAAGCTTTAAGTATACACTTGAAGGCCCAAATTAGGTAGACAGGAATTTGGAAAACTGCCTATTTCTATTGATAATAGTTTCTGTAGATGACCAATCCTATATGTATAGCTTCTGCATAGAAAACTAGAGGGGACTGACTTTGATTGCAGAGTGTTGGAAACTACTTTTTGCCTTGGTCTTTAAGCACAGAGCCTTCTATTGTACCTTAAATGTAGGTTCAAGCTGGGGTACACCCTTAGGTAAATGTGTCAATAGGCGTCAGCAAATTCATCTTGGGGTATAGCACAGAAATTGTTCCCAATCAGTCTGAATGTGTCTGTTGTATCTGACTGGCAAGTGCTTATGAGTAATACTAGCTTCAGTCTTTTGTTTTGCCATTTCATGTTAGAGCATGGGGATTGTTGAGATGGGATTTTGAGTAGCCTGGGATGGCTTCAGACTCATTATGATGTAAAGTATGACCTTGAATTTCTTATCCCGCTGCTTCATTTCCTGAGTTCTGGAATTACCCGTGTGTGTCACCATGACTGGTTTATGTGGTACTGGGGATAAACCCTGAATTTCGTGCTTCTTATAACTGAGCTACTTTCCAAGCCCCCATTTTTTTTTATTCTATACAAATTATTATCTGGAGTCTAGACATTAGCTTTCCTCTCACAGAGAGTAATATCTTTTAGATTTTTTTTGCATTCCTTACCAAAAGAGCACCATGCCAAGGACAAAATCAATACACACCACTTTTGTGTCCTCCTAGCATATGAGAACAATTTAGCTTTTCTTTCCCCCTTGTTTCACTGAGTGGATGCTTGCAAAACTGCAATTGTGGGCGCCCAACAGTGAGCCTAAACAGGCTTTTTCTTTTGTGAGACAGAGTCTCTATAGCTTTGGCTATCCTGGAACTCACTATACATACCAGACTGCTTCGAACTTTCAGAGATCCCCCTGCCTCTCTCTCCTGAGTGTTGGGACTAAAGGCATACATGCCTGGCCCTGAGCCTGAACACTTAATGTTGAATCCCTTAAGGAATTGAAAGAGGCACCAGTTCCCATTTAGAAGGTAGTGACTAAATAGAAGTAGTTACTGGATTCACTCAATTTGTATTTGGAAATAATTTCTTCTTGTCAATCTTCTAACACCATGCCTAGTAGTAGTTCATGTTTCTGAAAGGTAAATAATATAAATAAATGAATCAATGATGATAGTAGTAGTGATGGTAGTATAGTAGTAGTAGCAGCAGTAGTGTAGTAGTAGTAGTAGCAGCAGTAGTAGTAATAGTAGTAGTGATAGTAGTAGTAGTAGTAGTAGTAGTAGTAGTAGTAGTAGTAGTAGTGTAAGAACCACATTTTCCTGAAAGCCAATTGTATTCCAAGGATATATGCTACCATGTACCTTATTTCCTATCTTAGCAGCACTGTGGAGCACATTATGAACCCAGTTTGCAGATGGAGTAATTGAATCTCTTTCTTACTGTGATACTTACCAGTGTTCCCTACTAGCGCAACCTGTGAAGTCTTATTTATATTGCTCAGTTTACCAGTCTCCTCCAAAGCAGTACCTTATCAGAATGTTATCCTTCCATGTTAGGCATACTGAAAAAGAGAAAGAGTGATGGATTTTGAAATTAAATAACTGGGTTTATGTGACTCGTGACATGGCATGTCAGGGCACTTACTGCCAAGTCTACACATGTGCTGCCCCCACCCTCCCAATTAATCCATACATGAAAGAACTGGGTTTAAATCCTAGTTCCATGGTAAAATTGCCTTTTGACCTCAAGTTAATTATTTCATGTTACTCAGGTTCATCTTCTTCATCAGAAAAGTGAAAAGGATGATGATTGTGTTCATAAATTCTTTTGAGCCCTGTTTACTAGGGACTAGAGATATATTGATGAATAAAACTGTAGCTGAAAGTTTTCTTATGTCCCACCTGGTCTGCAGCCGCTCAGACCCAAGTAAACACACAGAGGCTTATATTAATTAAAACTGCTTGGCCATTAGCTCAGGCTTCCTACTGACTAGCTCTTACATTTAAACTCAGCCTATTTTTGTTAATCTATATGTCACCACATGTTCTGTGGCTTTACCTGTATGCCATTACATGCTGCTCCCTGGATGGTGGGCTGGCATCTCCTCATTCAGTCTTCCTCTTCCCAGAATTCTCCTTGTCATACTTCCTGCCTGGCTACTGGCCAATCAGCATTTTATTAATCAACCAATCATAGCAACACATTTTCACAGCATAAAAAAAGACATTCCCCCCATCATCAGACATTATCCATGGCCTTACGGATTTCTCAGTCAAGTGAGACATTGAAAACAGGGAATTTTCACATGAATTACAAAGCATGGAGCAGGCCATGTGTAGAATTGGAGGAAAGTTGAGTGTGGTTTATAGGGCAAGAAGCACTTTATTCAGACCAAGAGTCACTTTGGGTGGAGAGAACAGTACATGCAATGTCATGGAGTCATTAAAGAGCATGATTTGTATGTGAAGTGTTTTGTACCTACAGGCCATAAACTATTAGGTGGTGGCTGGAGATGCAGCTGGAGTGGTGTGGATGAGGCCTAGGATCCTAAGCTGCTATATGATGCTAAATGGTGTAAAGGCTAAAGAGGGAGGATGCCTGTATGACTCTGTTACCCACCTTAAGAAACTTGTACATGACACCCCAAGTGTTAGGATAAGAATGGTCTATTGAAGGGTTAATGGATGGTTGAGTTCTTGTATTGGAAGCAGAAAGGATTGGCCCCTAAAAGGCTGAACATACTGAGAGGAGTACTGGGTAGTTAACCAAAGAGCATCAAGATCTGCAATTATTTATTCATTGAGTTTCATTTATTTTTACAGTCTAAATTTTGAGAGAGGATCTCACTGTGTGATCCAGACCAGCCTTGAACTTAACCTTCTTGTGTGTATACCACTGTGTCTGTCTGAACTGGGTATACATCTTAGCTCGGTGATCTAGGTCCTTTTTGACTTTGAGTAAATTGGTATTTGCCAATGGATCATATTGTTTTTGATGGCATAGTGCCATAGGTACAGACCTGGAGCTTAAGCCGTGTTTCTGATTTTGAGACAGTAGGCCAATAGTGCTAGTGTTATTTAATGGATTGTGAAGTTAAAACTTAGGGAGGGAAATTGATTTCTGAGAGTCACATAGCTAGTAAATGGCATAACTAAGGCAATACCCCAGATTTTAAGCTTCCTAGCTTAATGCTACTTTGACCTTACCAACTTGCATGACCGTCAGCCATTGTACCGCTCAGATTCCCCTCTATGTAAGGGCTGCTACAGTGAGGGAAATTAGTGTAAAACCAATGCAGAAAATAATAAACAAGCAAGTAATCAAAAATACCATGTATAGTATGTGGTTCATTTTAAGTGTTAACCAAACCTAACCTCACTTTTGGTGTTACATTGTCCCTATTGAGATCAGAGAGGATCATGCAGTTTGTCTGTGGCCACAAACGAGTTTGGCGGATTTGTTTCCCTGCAGGACTATTATGAACCACACTACCCCATGTATATTGAATATAAAAATGTTGCTTTGATTAATAAACACATTTGCTTGTTTCCCCACTCTTTTTCTACCTTTGGAGAGACTGTTTTTTATGGTTTTTGATATCCTGAGGGTGTGCACTGCCACATTCAGTAAGAAGCTTCTATACTCAACTTTTCTCACACATTCTAAGGATGATTTCAGATAGCTGCTTATGCAGTTGCAGCTTCCCTTCTCAGAAGCCTCATGAAAATTTTATTATGTATACTTAATGCCATTTGGGCAATCCATTTCTCCTGCACTGCCCTTAGATGATGTGTACTGGACTTCCTATTGAATTTGCTGTGCTTGGGAAAGAACACCCTGAGCATTTTCCCCTGGTCTTGGCCACTTATGCTTAGAACAGTGAGAAGCCATCTACCATGTTATTGCAAGGTTTGAAGGTAAAGCTTCTCAGTGAGTCAACACATTGCTCCTGCTGTCTTGGTCAACATCATCCAAGTGACCCTGAGGATACTACAGGAGACAGAAGAAACAACTGTGCATTTTTACTAAGTGTCTGTTAATGCTTCTCTCCTACCAGGGACCCGTGGACTTAACTTTGAAATACTGCGTGAGAAGGAAGACAGAGTCGATTGACAAGAGGTTCTGTTTTGATATAGAAACTAATGAGAGGTGAGTTGTGATGCTGGGACTTGATGGGGTCACTGTGTACCACCGTGAGTTTGGCTGGGTCTTGTATTTTACTCTCTTATTCCTTGTTGCTGAAAATGAGCAATTTATATATAGGCCAGTGGTAGTCCTGCCCCTCAGTCTGCCCTTCACAAGGGTCTCTGTTATACCAGGTCCGGGGCTGGTTTGTTTGTGTTTTTGTTTTCTGTATATCTCTCAACCACATTTCCCTCACTGTCTCTGGACAGAAAAAGTCTTTCCTAGAATTTCATTTGCTGTCATATATGCAAAAATTTGTTTTTTCTCAATTGTGCAAAACTGACAGAATAATTATGCTTGTTCTTTTTAAGACACTGTTAGTATAACTTAGGAAGTAGATTGACACAATTTTTAAAAGAAGACAGAGTGAAGGGTAGAGGTGGTATTGGGGATTTTTTTTCATACCTATTGTAAAATTATGCAAGCTTTTCCTACTTTGACAACATGTATGTGAACTAAAATAGTTATTGACCCCAAATATTAGAACCACTGCTAGCAAATTTGGGACATGATTATATTGTTTTTCTCCAATGCCTTCTTTTTTCTCTCCTCTGAGCATGAAGAGTTTAATGAAGGATAGTTGACTATATTTTTTTAAATTGAAAATGGATTTTTTATACAATATATTCTGGTTATGATTCCCACTCTCCCAGCTCATCCCAGATCTTTCCCATCTCCCCACCCATCCAAGTCTATACCCTTTCTTGCTCTCTCATTAGAAAACATACAGGAATCTGAAAAAAGAAAAAAATAGATAAAATAAAAACAAACAAACTTGAATAGGACAAAATAAACAAATGAACAGAAAAACAAAGAGCCGAAGAAAAAGCACAAGAAACACATAGACTGAGACACACACATACACATTGGCAAACCAGAAATCCCCTAAGAACACAAAATTGGAAATCATAATATAGAAGCAAAAGATACCTTTACCCTTTAAAATAAAAGCATTTGATATTATTTTGGTGATAGGCATGCTTTGTGGTTAAGAAGTTGGTCCAAAAGTCAGTGAATAAGCTATGTGATTTATTTTTATCCGTTTTTTTATATACCAGGCACTGGATAATAGAGAAGAATTTAGTAAAATAATCAGATTGCTAGAAAGGAACTTAATAAATTATAGTATCATAACCACTAGGGACTGATATCAACAAGATCAGTTAGACTGAGAGATTAGGACATTTTTCCTATCTAGAAATAAGTAACTGTCTGTTGCCCTATTTAAAAATTGGGATATTTTTGGACCCTCATGATTTTGTTTTATGGGTTTATGACTTTTTTTTAAATAGATGATCCCAGTCAAAAGGACTGTGATAGTAAATATTGCTACCAGTAACCACATTTTCCCGATAACATCATGCCCTGTAGGATGAGACAAGCAACTGTGGACTCTGACTTCCCTGTGTGAACCTGTAGCATCTCTGGTTCTTCAGCATCAAGGTGCTTAAAAGTGATCAAATTTTCCACATCTGATTCCATGTTGATTCCCTTTTTACCTTAAATTTGCCAGCTACCTGTAAATAATATCCCTAACTCAAAGCAATCACACTTTGGCCCTGGATGACAGACTGGGTCACTTTATTTTTATATTTCTTGCACAGTGTGCTGTGCTTGGCTCATTGTAGGTAGTAAATTTGTTGTTAATTTGTAGATATGTTTTTTTTCTTTCCCATAATTCTGAGGAATTTTTAGAGTAGAACCCGGGAATTAAAGTTATGATGCATCTGTGACTTTAGTTACCATATTATTTGCACTTTAAAAACCATTGTCTTATTGAATCCTCTCACCGCATTTTATAAATGAGGACACTTTTGCTGCCTGAGGGCCCAGCCTCCAACAGTGCAGGGCTCTAAGGGAATCCACAGAGTCGGTGTACTAGACTTTTTTATCTGCGGGGGTAAGGGGAAAAAGACACTCACACACTCTCTTGATGGTTTCCTTCTTTATTCTTCTTCTGTAGTCTCTTCTTTATTTTCTGGTAATTTCCTTCACTCATTCTTGATGATGTTTTCCTTCTAACTCTATCTCTATTCTTTCCCTTATAGCTTATATACCCCAGCAAAATCTTTCAGGCAATGTTAAAAATCACAATATGGTTACATTCTATTTTTCAAGTGAATGATTACAATGAATACAAGTAAAAATCAGCACGTTTTCCACATCCCTTACATGATTAAACATTTTACATATTATAGGTGAAAAACAAATTATCCCCAAAAACCCACATACATGCATACCCAAGCAACTTGTTGTATATTAATAGTGTAGACAAGCAAGGTATTCTTCTCAGTCAGGTCTTTTACTGGCAGATTGCATTTTGTGGTTACAAAGAAAGTGCCAAGCACTTTATTACTTATCTTGAAAAGTAATCTTTTAAGGAATCTTAAAGGAATCACAAACCTAAACTTTTATACATGAAAAACAGTCAGCTCTACTTTAAATCTTTAGGGGGATTTTATATATATATATATATATATATATATATATATATATATATATATATATATATATATATATATATATATATATATATATATATAAAATCTTTTATATATATATAAAACTATTGTTGAGTATATATATATATTATATATATATAATATATATATATATATAATATATATATCAGGAGATTGAGGGCAAAAATTGGTACAAGGGAATTAATTATTACCTTTGGTCATTAACCAATCCTAGCAAGAAAGGCATGTCAGCCAATGATAATTGGGCTGCTTTGTGCTTGTTCCATTACCTTAAAGAGTTCCTCATTCAACTATGTGCCTTTCTAAAACTTTAGATTGTCTTCTTGGATTTTTCACCTCAAAGTATTTGACAAAAACATCTTAATTTAAGTTATTTTCAAAGCTTTATTTCAGCTATGATGCACTCCAAATCCTGTGAACACATCTTCCAATATTAAAGTTAAAAGAATTTAAGCTAGCTGGGCTACTGGGACTCAATTGTTTTTCATAATCATTAACCTAAGTCACAGTCTATATGGCTCCTCAATATAAACTCATGTGTTCAAGCTGTGTGACACTTTCATGTTTTATTTTTATCAAAATTCTATTTAAACTAACATTATTGTTATCAATTAGACTGTACAGCTTAGGAAGAAATCATCTTCATAGTAATCCACAGGTAAAAATGCCCAGTAGAATGGGATATTTCTATGAGATAAACACACTACATTACAGGCAGTGAGGCTCTCCCCACAGGCATTCACACCATGTCAGATACGAGGGAAAGATGGCAGCGGCAAACACGTAAAGGCACAGCAGAAGCAAAAAACACTCTGAGGGCTGTGGTCTCAGGGCCTTGCCTATCTGAAATTTACCTATCAGGGTTTTGTTTCCTGGTGGATTGATCCCCTGAAGTCAATTGCCATCTGCTGTTCCTCTGACGTGGCTACTGTCCGAACACCAAGCCTCAAATATATTAATTGACTCTGTAGCAAGGCAGAACCCTGGTCTGTGGGTCTCCACAGTCATTTCCTTTGTTATCTTGTGTCATTATTGATTAGAATAGTCAATATCATAATGAAAACATGCTGACACATCTATCTGCAAGAGGGACTTTGTCAGGTCTGTGGTAGCTACTTCCCTCACTTGCCTATCTGATCTCAGAAGAGCCAGGCTTCCTGGCATGTACCACACACATTAACTCATACTCTCTAGAGTGCCATGCAAAGGTCTCTTAATCTATTTTTTTCTAGTTCAGAAAGATCGAATAGCATTACAAAAATTAATGTTTGTTCCAATACTTGAAATTGTAGGCTCATATCACACAAGAGTTTGGAGGGTCTTAACAATAATTTTAGCAAGTTATGTTGCTTTCCAAGTGCCTCCTGCCTGTCAGACCCTGTTCTCAGCCCTTTAAGTGTAATTTAGTTTTCATCATATAGAGGAGTAGAGGTTACTACTACCTCAAGTTCATAAAGGAAGAGAAGTAAGCAAAGAAATGTTAACCAACTTGAATAACGCAGCTACTAAATAGTAGAGCCGGGGCCCGAGTCCAGGTGTTTGAATCTCTAAGGAAGGCCACCTCCTTAACCATTGTACTCTACTTCATATGTGCCATACATTGCCTGTTGGTTCCAGATGGGCAACTGGAACTTCCAGGAGGACAATTTGTCTAAGGTCATAATGAATCCTATGTGAGGGAGCCTGGACTAGAACTTAGTTCTTTTTCCAGTCTCTTGTCTTGTCCTTAATAATATTCTTTGAATTTGACTATTTGTAGCACTAAAGAATCTCCAAATACTTCCCTAAGAGTCGTACATTTATACTTCTAGTCTCTCTCTACGGTCAAAAGTGAGCCTACGGCTAGGGCAGCTGGATTTCATGAGTGTTTCTTTCTCTCCCTGTCTGTTTTTCATGTCTGTTGTTCATTTGCTTGCTCTCCTTCCATTTGACTTTGCAATTTGGCTGATAGCTATCTTCGTAGAGAGCCCTAGACTTTCCAGTCCAGCAATATGTATCCCAAAGGATGAGGTTCTTAGAGAAAGATAAATTTGAAAGGGTCTAGTTTCTAGAACCAAGTGCTGGCTTTTGGTTAATTTTATCTTAAAGATCATTTGGCTTGCCGGGTAAAGGGTATTTTGAATGAAACTGGCAAGTATGACAGGAATCCCCTGATGTCAGCACTGGGAAGTACTTCCCAGAGTGTATGTTCCAGCACCCTTAGAGATGAAGAAGTGGCAGTGCAGAGAGGCATTGTGATTAACCCAGCACTGCTGAATGTTCTTGTTACTGCTCTTACATTCTGCAACTCTGAGTGAGGCTGAACGATACAGAAAGCTGAGAGGCAAGCTTCTTAGAATGATGTTGCTAGCTAGAGACTGCACCAAGACTTCAAGCTTGCGGTGATATGGTCAACCCCAAGTGCCCAGTTTGGTTCTGAAGGTCAGAATATATTATTCTAGGTATATCAATCTTTAATGTATCTGGATAAAAACAGTGTCGTCCGTTCATTGCTTTAATACCGAAGAATGGGTTATATATAAGCATCAGAAATTTCTTTCTTAGAGTTCTAAAGTTGAAAGTCCAAGATCGCCCGACAGTGGTGGTGCATGCCTTTAACCCCAGCACTCGGGAGGCAGAGGCAGGTAGATCTCTGTGAGTTTGAGGCCAGCCTGGTCTACAAAGCAAGATCAGGACAGGCACCAAAGCTACACAGAGAAACCCTGTCTCAAAAAAAAAGTTCAAGATCACAGGGTTAGCAGGTTTGGAGTCTGGGAATCTTTGTTTCCAAGATAGTACCTTGCTTTTTCATCCCCCAGAAAGAACACATTTCTTGTTTTCACATGGAAGAAGGGATAGAAGGGGATGGATGGATGGACCCACCTCTTCAAACCTTTCTATAAAGGTGTTTTGTCACTTCCTGAAGACTCAACTTATTATTATTGTCTAATGGTGATTATGTTTAATATAGGAATTTTTGGAGTGTGTGTGTGGGTATGTACTTATATTTCCAGACCATAGTAGATGGCCAACAAGTAAATAGAATTAAAAAAGTTTGGAGCAATTTTCCACAGACAAGAGGCCTTACAGTATAGATGTTCAGAATCCGGTTTGTGAAATACATTGCATGCATGTATGAAAATGTTCTAATAAAATCCATCATTTTGTACAATGACTATCCACTAATTCAAATTGTATAAAAACGATGAAAGAAGCACAAGATACCTTTCTCTCAGGTAAATTTTCTGATTTAAACTTTTCTTTTTGCCACACAGACCAGGAACCATCACTCTGCAGGCACCTTCAGAAGCCAATAGAAGGCTATGGATGGAGGCCATGGATGGGAAAGAACCTGTAAGTTACCTCAGACTCTCTCTCTCTTTCCTTCTCTCTCCCTATCTCTCACTCTTTCTCCCTTTCTTTCCCTCTCTCTACCTCTCTCTGTCCCTTCCCCCCTCTGTCTCTCTCTGTGTCTCTGTCTCTGTGTCTCTGTCTGTGTCTCTGTCTCTGTCTCCATCTCTGTCTCTCTCCCTCTCTCTCAATGACTCTCTGTCTCTGTCTCTGTCTCTCTCTCTCTCTCGTGTGTGTGTGTGTGTGTCTGTGTGTGTGTGTGTGTGTGTTTGTGTGTGTGTGTGTGTGTGTGTGTGTGTGTGTGTGTGTGTGTGTGTGTGTGTCTGTGTGTGTGTGTGTGTGGGGGAACCTCAGCAGCATAGGTCAGTGTATGAGTGCCCTCTAGTGGTTCCAGTAGGGAATTGGCCATAGGTTATTCAGATTCTAAATCTTAGAGCTAGAAGGAACTGTCACTTCCTGAACTCTTGTTTACTCCAACTTGAGTTCTAGAGGTGAAGGACTTCCCTAGTACTTGTCTGTCATTGCCTCCAGAGAGGGCACCAAGGCTCCCTACTTCAGTATTAGACTCTGAAGCTATTCCCAAGTTCTTAGGAATGAAAAGTAATCCCTCTTCATATTATAGAATTGATTTGTAAATATAAAAGGATGGAAAAAATTGTCATGGATGTAAGTAAGCCTCCATTTAGTGTTCCTTTAAAGTGATTTTTCTAACCTCTCTCGTATCACATACTTAGCTGGTTCTCTTTCAGAATTCATTGTTAGGCCGGTAGAGAGAAAAATTCCTTAGAAGAGTCAGAAATGGTTCTAGATCTACAACAATAAAAGCAGAAATCATTGGAAAGTACTGTCTCTTCAACATCTTTCTAGTAGTTTCTTTTAGTGGCATATGGCATAACATGAGCTTTGTGTGTTTGAACTACAAATGCCTGGTCCTGGGTTTGCTGTTACATGGTGATGACTTTAGCAAGTTATTTTACTCTCTGTCCCCCAGTTCTCTTCTTCTTGCTAATGAAATGGTTTTTTTTTTGTTTTGTTTTGTTTTTGTTTTTCGAGACAGGGTTTCTCTGTGTAGCTTTGTGCCTTTCCTGGGTCTCGTGCTGTAGACCAGGCTGGCCTCGAACTCACAAAGATCCACCTGCGTCTGCCTCCTGAGTGCTGGGATTAAAGGCGTGTGCCACCACCGCCCGGCTGAAATTTTTTTTTTAAATGATTTCTATTCTGTGTATCTTCCAGGATCACTTTGAACAATCAAGGGAAAACCATCCTACAAACAGTAGAATGCTGTATTAATTTTGGATCGTCCTCCCTGGTTGGAAGGACAACTGTAGGACTATTACAGTGTTTGGATCCAGCCTTACCTCCTTACTCTCCTCAAGTGAAAAGCTGAACAGCTTGCCCATTGGGGGAAATGTATTGTTTCTTTGTGTCCTTCATTGTCTGTGGAGGACAGAGGCATAATGAGGGACGGTGAGACACCTTAGTGGGTCGAGGTGCCTGCCATCGAGCCTGGGACCTCCTAAGTTCAGTTACCTAGTCCCTACAAGGTAGAAGGAGAGAACTGACTCCCATAAGTTGACCTCTGACCACCACGTGTGCTGTGACATGCACACCCCTCCCTTAACACAAATAAAAATGTAAGTGGAAAAATTAAGAGTGCAGTAGCCATCTCTGAGATTGCATCTGTAGTAGCTAAAGCAGAATGAGGTTCACTTCCTGGAAACCTGAAGCTTGGCCTTTCTATGCCCGTGGTGCTTCTCCAGGGGGATGCTAGGAGTAAGGCATTCATATGTCCACTCCCTCTCCTACACCTGATCTCCCTTTCGGCTGTCGAAGATCAGAAGATATTAGTGGCTTGTTGTGGAGAATGATTCTTAAGCATAGATCCTCTGAATATACAGCCTCAGCGGCTTGATTGCCGCTGACTTTCCTAAGCTCGTTTATAAAAGTCGCAGCAAATGCTGTACAGTGCAGAAATGCCTCTTACTGAAATCTTCATGAGAACACTGACATGTACAGCACTTTTCCTTTCAAAAAGGAGAGGCTGGGCTTAATTCCCTCAGCCTCACCCCACCAGTGTTGCAGCTTCATTAAACACCAAATCCACTGAACATACACGTCCTGTGTATGCCTTTGCTTCAACTGTCCAAGAGGATCAGGGCTTGAAGGAACATCTGTTCCAACCCTGATCGTTGTATTTATGGGGAACGTGAAATTTAGAGAATGGAAAGGGCGTGTCCAGTCTACTAATGGCCTATGGGCACAACCAAGACAAGTCTCAAAGAAGCCAACCTCTCCATTCTGGTCTTGTACATAGTTATCAGAGTGCATACTTCAGGATGACTCTGTGACATTCACCAATCTCCTTCAGAAGAACTCCTTTTTTTGAGACAGGGTTTCTCTGTGTAACAGTCCTGACTGTACTGGAGCACGCTGTGTAGACCAGACTAGCCTCGAACTCACAGAGATTCACCTGCCTCAGACTTCCAAGTGCTGAGATTAAAGGCATGCACCACCACTGCTTGGCCAGAAGAGCTCTTGTCTTTCCAAAGAGAAATATCAGTTAGCTGTTTTACTATTAATGCCTATTAGCCATTTTTTATGTGTTGCTCTACCCCAGAAACACCCTAAGCTTTACCTGAATAAATGCTAAGGTAAGTCAGCTCCAGCTTCAGCTATGCAGACTGTGTGAACATCGAGCCCAGTTCTCAGGGACTGTGTTTTCTAGGAATCTGGGCAAAGAGAACTCTGGTTAACCTCCTTTCCTTTGTTGTTACAGCTCTGGCATCTCTAATGATTCTGATAGTCTAGGGAATGAAATTTAATCCCATTTGCTCTACCTATCTGTAGTGAGTCACAATAACTGAGCCTTTTTGGTTTCTCTTCTTTTGTAGATCTACCACAGCCCTATAACAAAACAGGAAGAAAGTAAGTAATTGCATTTTATGCTCTCCTGACATAAGTGCAAAACTGTCCCGGTGACAGTAAATGCTAGTATTGGTGACATGTACCATTCATGCAAATATGTGCAAAATGAAACCTATCCCTAATTGAAATTGTGTATTGATTGGATTAGGGAAGTCACTCCATTGAAACTTATGGTGTGAATGGTACTGAGGATACAGAGACTATATTATCTCCTCTTTGTTCTAGACAGATGATAAAAATTGTGTGCATTTCCGAAGTAGCATTTCATATTTGATATGGCTCATGTTTAGGGTAGATGTGATATAAAGAGCTGAACAGAAACATTTTGTGTTATGAAAGTCCAAACCTACCCTGAGCATGGCGTCATTCAATGGAAGGGTGAGAGGAGGTGAGCACTTGCCCACCACTACTCTCACCTGTGGCTCTTCCTGTGGCTCTTGAATGTTGGGTAGGAACTTCTTTTTTTTTGTTTTTTTGATACAGGGTTTCTCTGTGTAGCTTTGCGCCTTTCCTGGATCTCACTCTGTAGCCCAGGCTAGCCTTGAACTCACAGAGATCCGCCTGCCTTTGCCTCCCGAGTGCTGGGATTAAAGGTGTGCACCACCACCGCCCGGCGGGTAGGAACTTCTTACTATGCTATGAACTAACTCTCCTTTCCTTCAAAACAGTGGAGCTGAATGAAGTGGGGTTCAAGTTCGTTAGGAAGTGCATCAATTTTATTGAGACCAAAGGTAAGATTGAAACCATCACCTCGACATGATTGAATTTGGCTGTTCTGCTTTTATCCTAAGGAATAAAAAGGGTGAAGGACTTCCCTAGTACTTGTAATCCCTCTTCATATTATAGAATTGATTTGTACATATAGAAGGATGGAAAATAATTGTCATGGATGTAAGTAAGCCTCCATTTAGCGTTCCTGTAAAGTGATTTTTCTAACCTCTCTCGTATCACAGACTTAGCTGGTTCTCTTTCAGAATTCACTGTTAGGCAGGTAGAGAGAATAATTTTGAATGCAGGTAGCTGTGGTGTATGATTCACTCTGTTTTCTTTGAAACTTTGCTTCAGCCTTTCTCAATACAAAAATGAACTTTTGCTTCATATCTTCCATACTCCAACCCTCTCCTCCTTTATATCACTGCTTGAGAGCGATATAGGGGGTTTATGTCACCTCCCTTACCTTTTAATCACTAGCTCCCTTCCAACATGGCAGACTGTTCTATCATGCCTCCCTATACTATAGAGTGTGTTCTCTTCCCTTCAGACCAATAGGGGATAGGTACAATCAAATGGAGTCCTGAATGATTTTTGGATACAATTAGGACGGTAGGACTGTTCCTCAGTAACAGGGAAAGACTGGAGCACTAGAAGAGAGAGGGAGGCCTCTTTGTTGTCTGTGAACTGACACCAGGGTACAAGGGCTTCCCTTCTCTGCCTTGGGGAACGTAAAAGCTGGAGCAATGCTAACTAAGATGATCTGGTTTGCTTTTCCTAGGGATCAAGACAGAAGGGTTGTACCGAACAGTGGGCAGCAACATCCAGGTTCAGAAGCTGCTTAATGCCTTTTTTGGTAACAATTTTACATATTTTTAATTGGGAGTGGTTTATATAGAAACAAATGAGACTGAAAGGGAAAGAACAAATTTCTCAGGAAGATTGAGGAAGAATATTTTAAAGTTGAGCTGTAGTCTTATTTTGTTGCTCAGGCTAGTCTCAAACTCCTAGACTCAAGCAATCATCCTGCCTCAACCTCTTAAGCAGTGCCATGCCTGGCCTGTAGAATATTAAAACTGTTTTCAGAGATGAAACTGACAAATATTTTGCACACTTTGAGTCAGAGACCATCATGCATTGAATACATGTCTGTCACCTCTCGTCCCATCCACTCCTCAGGCCCTAGGAAATCCAGTTCTACCACGGCCTCTTTGCTGGAACTTCTCTGGCCATGATGATCATGTGTGTGCTTGCCAAATCCAAGGAGCACTCCAGTCCATCTTACTTGTTCTCCTGGTTGAACACTGTCTTCTTTCTGGGAACTATCTCCTTACTTGACTCCCGTGATACAATACTCTATTCATTCTTTTGACATTGTGTGTTACTCTTTTGTTGGTGACTCTTCCTGGATCCCCTTTTCCCCTCCTACCTTTTAAAGTTTTAAAAGGCATTTCCCAGGGTTCTGTCTTGGCATGCCTTTACTTTTTCCTCTCCTGAGTGATATTTATCCTGGATATGGGTTACATTTTCCTTTTAAAAGTGTGTGTGTGTGTGTGTGTGTGTGTGTGTGTGTGTGTGTGTGTATGTGTGTGTGTGTGTGTGTATGTGTGTGTGTGTTGTCATCTTTATTGGATGTTGACTCTTAGGACTTATTGAGTGTCTTAGTTCCACTGAATAAAGGACCATTGAGGTGGGGTTTTTGGTTGTGTGTGTTTTGGGGTTTTTTTTTGTTTTATTTTTGTAGATAATTATTGATTCAAGTTTTTTGCTAGTTTGTTAGACCAGACATGAAGTATTCTCTACTGGCTTGTTTAGACCTGCTAGTAAGTCTTGACTTCTCTTGTGTCTTCATTTTTACTGACTAGAACACACATTTGAGGCTGGAGAGAGGCCTCAGTGGGTAAAGCAGTTGCCATGCAAGCATGGGAACCTGAGTCTGGGTCCCTGGAACTCATGTAAAAGCCAGATAAGGTAGGGAGCATCTGTGATCCCAGTGCACCTGTACCAGAATGGCTAGTGGAGACAGGAGCATTCCTGGAAGCTTATGGACCTGCTAGTTTGGCCATGACTGAGTGAAGAAGAGACTATCTAAAAAAGTTTAGATGGTGAGGAGCAGCACAGGAGAGTGAGCTTAGAATCTACCAGCACTTACAGGTCATAGATGATCATATCTTTTCCTCTCAAAATAAATTAATGCTATCCCTGTTATAGGATCCTGTTGCTCTATATTAGTGAGAATCAGGTTATAAAACCATATAGGTGGGCTGGCCACGGTGGTGTATTGGTTATATTGATTATATATGGTGATGTATATTTCTAGCCCAGCTTGGACTATGTAGAATGCCCTGTCCCACAAACCACAGATAGCTATAACAATAACAAAAAGAAATATTATAAGTAATTAGAGAAAATAAATTAAAGTTTCATAAAAAAACCGGTAACCTGTTTCTTGACTTGAAATCTTTAACAGTATTGTTATAAAGCTCATAAAGTGAAGGTATTAAGTTTGGAATATGTAAAACTCATTTTCCTGCTGTGTGCTTGTGATGGTTAATGTTGGTTTATCAACTTGACAGGCTCTAGACTCACATAGGCAGAACTGTGAAGGATTTTCTAGATTGGATCATTTGAAGGTTGGTGACACTTTCCTACATGCTGGGTTACTGACTGCATACAAAGAAAACAGTAAGCTGATCACTAGCACTCATCTCTTTCTCTGCTTATAGAAATACCCTGAAACTGTCAGTCAAAACAGACAAACAACACCAACACCAGCACACCCTTTCTTCCTTAGGGTGTGCTGGTGTCTGGATATTTTGTCTGAGCAATAATAAAAGTAACAGTGGCTTATACCATTTTCTCTATCTGATTACCATTGGTTCTCATTTTCTTTGGGGGCCTATTAGTTATCTTCTGCCTTGACCTAAGAACCACATACTGATTTTCCTTAGACTCATATTCATCTCCATCTCATTCTCTCGTTCCTATTATGTATATTGAATGTCTACTATATACCAGACACTAGTGTTTATTGCTGCCACTTCTCTTTATGCATCTTTTTTGTTCTTTTTTTATTATTCTTGCATATTTCTTTGCTGCCTAGTTTGACTATCAACTCACTTCCATTAAATGCTCTCCCACTGCCACACACTAGAGCTTTTCCAGGTACAGGTAGCTGGTCAAGATGATAAGAAATACAATACTCCTCTCTAGAACATGAAGCTGTCATCTGAAAAGTGTATTTATAGAATTCTCAGGTAGGTAACATATGCTCTTGAGTGTCTCTGCCCCTGTATCTACTAGTTTCTCAGCTCTCTAGGAATCTGGTATTAAATACAGTATTTGTGTAAGAAATGAATCTTTCAATTAATTCACTACCTGTATTTGTCAGGGTTCTCATGGGAACAAGTAGAATGTTCATATCTCTATCTATCTCAAAAGGGTTTTTTTAGATTTGTTTATGCAATACCACCTAAGTGGTCCAAAAATGGCTGTTTTCACATTGGAGAGGCTGAGAACCCAGTGGATTCTCAGTCAATAAAGCTGCAAGCCTCAGTAGTTTCAATCTGGCATTTATGGTCTGGAGGATTTCTGGAGAGCCATGAGGCTTCAGTTCCTGTTAGAGGGCTGAAGAAACTCGATTTTGATGCCGGTGATGGAGAGCAGTGGCAGTAACATGGTAGATAAACTCACCAGCATGATATAAAGGGGAGCATTCCCAAAGCAAAAGGGACCTCCCTGCAAGCCCTCTTCCCCTTTTTTACTTTTATTGGTTCTTTGTGGATTTCACTTCATGCATTTGGATCCCACTTATTTCCCTGTCCCATTGAATATGCTCTCTGTCCTTGCAACCTTCCCCCAGAATAAAACCAAATTTAAAAGAAAAACCAAAAACTCAAACAAAACAAAAACAACAAAAACAAAAAAAGAATCTTGTCATGGAAGCTGTAGCGCAGCCTGTCGAGACACAGTTTACCCTTTAGTCTGTTCATCTTTACTTGCACCTGTTTGTAGATGAATTTCTAAACAGTCTTATTAAATAAGAAACACAGAGCCAAATACAGAGGTAATAGCCAAAGAGATCAGAGAACTAGTGAAGAGCCGTGACTACCTTATCTTACCACCTCGTCACTGTTGCTTCCCCAGAGAGAGCTTCTTCCTGTGTAACCTGTGTTTTTATAGCCTTTTTGTTTTGCTTTCTCATTGGCTCTTAGCCCAGCCACATGACTTCCTTGTCACTGCCTTTCTATACAGACCTCCAGGTCTCTATGGTTGGTACTGGGATTAAAGGCTCATGTCACCACACTTGGCTGTGTCCTTGACCACACAGAGACTCTGCCTGCCATGTGATCGGATTAAGGGTGTGTGCTACCACCGCCTGACTTCTGTTTATGGCTATGTGACCTCGATATGTGACCTCTTATCTCCAGGCAAACTTTATTTATTAACATACAAGTAAAATCACATTTCAGCACAATTAAAATATCACATTTCCCCCTTTTATTCTAATAAAAAGAAAAAAGTTATAACTAATATAAGAAAAACTATATACAATAAGCATAATAACTATATACAATATATACAAGCAATAAATACCTCAACAATGTCTAGTCCATTTGCATTTGACAGAATCAGAGAAAATATTCCATTATCTATGCTATTTTGGTAAGTCCAAAATGTACCTGATTTACTTTCTATCCTATCTTATATTACTACCAGAGAACTATCTTATAATGTCTTTTAAATTTATACACTTACATCTCTTTAGTGAGTTTTTTTTGAGATTCTTAACAAGCAAAACTATAACTATAACTATCTAATCTTCAACTCACTGTAACTATCTAATCTTCAACTCCCTCAGAGACCCAAGAAGGAAATAATATTACCTAGTAAAACAGGAAGTACAAGCAAGCAGCTTCCAAAAAGTTGTGAGTTGACAGAAACAGCCAGCTGCCTGGACAGTCACCTGAGGTTTCTCCACAACGTTGGGGCATCATCTTCAGCCTATCGGCTTGGTGTATCTGACAGACTCATTTGTGAAGTAGGATGTACACAAGGCCTATAGTTTGACCTCACATTCGGTGTGAGTAGTCCATGTACCAGATAAACCTGAATTTCACTAGTGTCCTATCATGATTCAGGATTTTAAATTTTGGAAATTGTTGATGTTTTTGGAATTTAGCTGTCCATTCTTCTCAGCTTGTGGGTAGCTTCATCTCTTTTATTAAATGCCAGTCTTCTATTGAGAGGTGTGAGCCTAGTTACTCTTCAAGAATAACTGTTTCAGCTGCTGTTCCACTGCACACCAGAAGCCATCAGCCCACTGCCTGTTCAGCTGCCTTGGAAGAAAGGGGCACTGTACCTTTTCTGGATTGTAAAGGCCACTTCAGTGATGGTGCCATATTGTCCTGGCCTCAGAGGACGCCTCTTGCTAAAGCCACAACCACACTTGTCTTGGCAAGAATCGGTAGTCCTTTGTTTTGTGTTCTGTCTGTCCATTTTGTCCTGTTTGTCAGCCGTCGATTCGAGGATACTTTGTTGTCCAGTGGCTAACTTTGCCACAATGAAAATTAACTCCATATGCAGTTTCTTTAATGCCCATATCTTTTCTGAAGCAGATTGGTGCTGCCAGGAGCTGACATGTCTCATAGTCATAAAAAAAGAAAAAAAATTTTAAATTTTAAAAAATATTTTAAATGCCATATTCTGTAAATCAGCTCTAGTGTGCTGGGTGCAGGGCCTAGTCTCCTGTGAGCTGTAGATGGTGTAGAACAGGGTTAGTTCACTCACTCTTGTGACCCCAGAGCCAGCTCTCTTGCCTGCCACAGGTAAAAGGGATGGAGTGGGGAGGGAAAG